CGATTTTGTAAGCTGTTCGTAAAACCATTTTCAGTAACGGATAATTGAAATTTAATTAAATTCGATCTCTACTTTTGACTAGTAAGAAGAATTCTCAACAACTAAAACACCGTAATGAGCTACCACCTACAATTGAAGAAATGATTGTTGTGGTTCAAACATAATGTTATAAAAAATCAACAAAGAAAAGTCCAAATAATAAACATTAGCATGTTAAGATTTTCTAACTAGATAAAGTATAGACTGTTACGCTAAGAATTTTGTTGGTTACTTAAAATATAAATTTTGACAAAAAAAAAAAAAAACTTAAAACTTCAATAAATGGACAGAAACAAAAGGGTTGCACGTGGGATAAATTTATTGTACACATACATATACACACGTTAGGCTAACACACGTACAATAATATACATTATATTATGTAATTCATTATTTGATTGTATATGAGTTAGATAAAAACGGAACCGTGGAAAAATAAAAGGTGGGCCAATTTTGCCTATTGTTAGAGAGGCAAGATTTAAATACTCAGAACGAAGACACTTCCTAAAAAACTCTTATTTTATCACTATTCTTCAATTATGATTAGTTGGTTAAGGCTCTCACAAAAAACAATTTATATTATATTTTCCTATCACTTAAAAATTACAAGTTTCAACCAGTGCTTGTTTATACATTGCAATATGTTGGAATATAGATTAATTACTAGCATCCAATCGAAATTTGATCAACAATTTCTCTATTATGAAACTGTAAATATATTCCTTAACACATTTCATCATGCATGACATTGCATGTCAACAAGACCAAAACATACAGATTAATTTAAACACTCATTGTTTTTTTTTGTTTTTGCTAAAACAAAATAATGCAAACAAGAAGTATTTTTTAGCTAACTACTAACAGTTAAACAAATAATTTTTGCAACATGTGCACACTATGATATATATACAAACTAATCCGCCTCTTACATAATTTTGATTAATTTTTTGGCGTGTACATGAAATATCTCCGAAAAAACTCAAATCCATGGCATGTAGCATTTTTGAATAGTTTGGAATTTGGACTAATGTAGATATTATTTATATAAGTAGATCAACCATTTGACCAAAATAATTCAATAAAATACTTGTAACCAATAAAAATCACAACTAATTCGTTCATTATACCAGATCACCCAAATATCATATTTTTCACTAACAGAAAGAACAAAAAAAACGTTGACAAAAAACAACATAATCCAACATTAGTATGTGATATAGGTCGATAACTATGGGCTTAAAAAACTCTCTAATCCTCACTTATTTACAGGCTTCAAAACCATTAATGAATGGGCTAAGCCCTTATCCACAGTCAATAATTTTGATCCAATAATGTCACATAGTTTGATTTTGATTTTTACAAATCCTACAATCAATTCAGATTTTATTCGACCCGC